CAGTTGTGGTAGTTTATATGTCTCTAGGAATGCATCCATTTCTTCCAGATTGTCAAATTTGTTGGCGTAGTGTTGCTCATAGTATGTTCTTATAATTGTCTGTATTTCTTTGGTGTTAGTTGTGATCTCTCCTCTTTCATTCATGATTTTATTGATTTGGGTCCTTTCTCTTTTCTTTTTGATAAGTCTGGCCAGGGGTTTATCAATCTTATTAACTCTTTCAAAGAACCAGCTCCTAGTTTCATTGATTTGTTCTATTGTTTTTTTGGTTTCTATTTCATTGATTTCTGCTCTGATCTTTATGATTTCTCTTCTCCTGCTGGGTTTAGGGTTTCTTTCTTGTTCTTCCTCCAGCTCCTTTAGGTGTAGGGTTAGGTTGTGTATTTGAGACCTTTCTCATTTCTTGAGAAAGGCTTGTACCGCTATATATTTTCCTCTCAGGACTGCCTTTATTGTGTCCCACAGACTTTGAACCGTTGTGTTTTCATTATCATTTGTTTCCATGAATTTTTTCAATTCTTCTTTAATTTCCTGGTTGACCCATTCATTCTTTAGAAGGATGCTGTTTAGTCTCCATGTATTTGGGTTCTTTCCAAATTTCCTCTTGTGATTGAGTTCTAGCTTCAGAGCATTGTTGTCTGAAAATATGCAGGGAATGATTCCAATCTTTTGATACTACTTGAGATCTGATTTAGGACCAAGGATGTGATCTATTCTGGAGAATGTTCCATGAGCACTAGAGAAGAATGTGTATTCTGTTGCTTTGGCATGAAATGTTCTGAATATATCTGTGATGTCCATCTGGTCCAGTGTGTCACTTAAGGCCTTTATTTCCTTGTTGATCTTTTGCTTGGATGATCTGTGAATTTCAGTGAGGGGAGTGTTAAAGTCCCCTACTATTATTGTATGATTGTTGATGTGTTTCTTTGATTTTGTTATTAATTGGTTTATATAGTTGGCTGCTCCCACGTTAGGGGCATCGATATTTAAAATTGTTAGATCTTCTTGTTGGACAGATCCTTTGAGTATGATATAGTGTCCTTCCTCATCTCTTATTATAGTCTTTGGCTTAAAATCTAATTGATTTTATATAAGGATTGCCACTCCTGCTTTCTTCTGATGCCCATTAGCATGGTAAATTCTTTTCCACCTCCTCACTTTAAATCTGGAGGTGTCTTCGGGTTTAAAATGAGTTTCTTGTAGGCAACATATAGATGGGTTTTGTTTTTTTATCCACTCTGATACCCTGTGTCTTTTGATTGGGGCATTTAGCCCATTAACATTCAGGGTAAGTATTGAGAGATATGAATTTAGTGCCATTGTATTGCCTGTAAGGTGACTGTTATTGTATATTGTCTCTGTTCCTTTCTGATCTACTACTTTTAGGGTCTCTCTTTGCTTAGAGGACCCCTTTCAATATTTCCTGTAGAGCTGGTTTGGTGTTTGCAAATTCTTTCAGTTTTTGTTTGTCCTGGAAGCTTTTAATCTCTCCTTCTATTTTCAATGATAGCTGGATATAGTGTTCTTGGCTGCATGTTTTTCTCGTTTATTGCTCTGAATATATCATGCCAGTTCTTTCTGGCCTGCCAGGTCTCTGTGGATAAGTCTGCTGCCAATCTAATATTTTTACCATTGTATGTTACGGATTTCTTTTCCCAGGCTACTTTCAGGATTTTCTCTTTGTCACTAAGACTTGTAAATTTTACTATTAGGTGACAGGGTGTGGACCTATTCTTACTGATTTTGAGGGGGTATCTCTGTACATCCTGGATTTTGATGCTTGTTCCCTTTGCCATATTGGGGAAATTCTCTCCAATAAACCTTCTGCTCCCCTCTCTCTCTCCTCTTCTTCTGGAATTCCAATTATTCTAATGTTGTTTCGTCTTATGGTGTCACTTGACTCTCGAATTCTGCCCTCGTGGTCCAATAGCTGTTTGTCCCTGTTTTGCTCAGCTTCTTTATTCTCTGTCATTTGGTCTTCTATATCGCTAATTCTTTCTTCTGCCTCATTTATCCTAGCAGTAAGAGCCTCCATTTTTGATTGCACCTCATTAATAGCTTTTTTGATTTCAACTTGGTCAGATTTTAGTTCTTTTATTTCTCCAGAAAAGGCTTTTATATCTCCTGAGAGGGTTTCTCTAATATCTTCCATGCCTTTTTTGAGCTCAGCTAGAACCTTGAGAATCGTCATTCTGAATTCTAGGTCTGACATATTACCAATGTCTGTATTGATTAGGTCCTCGCCTTTGGTAGTGCCTCTTGTTCTTTTTTTGGGGGTGAATTTTTCCGCCTTGTCATTTTGTCCAGATAAGAGTATATGAAGGAGCAAGTAAAATACTAAAAGGGTGGCAACAACCCCAGGAAAATATGCTTTAACCAAATCAGAAGAGATCCCAAATCATGAGGGGGGAGAAAGGGGATAAAAAGAGGTTCTGAAAGAAAAAAAAAAAGAAACAATTAAAAAAAGAAAACGAATAAAGAAAAAATATAAAAATGAAAAAATATACATATTAGATAAAGTAGTTAAAATCATTAAAAAAGAAAAGGGTAAAAGTTAAAAAAATTTAGAAGAGGAGAAAAAAAATTGAAAAAGAAAAAAAAATTAAATTAACTGTAGGGCTAAAGAATCATTGGGAGAAAGCCATGAGTTCCGTGCTTTGCTTTCTCCTCCTCTGGAATTCTGCTGCTCTACTTGTTATTGAAACTGCACTCCCTGGTAGGTGAACTTGGTCCTGCCTGGTTTCTTGTTGATCTTCTGGGGGAGGGGCCTGTTGTAGTGATTCTCAAGTGTCTTTGCCCCAGGCGGAATTGCACCGCCCTTACGGGGGGGGGCCAGGCTGAGTAATCCGCTCGGGCTTGGTTTTGGGAGCTTTTGTTCCCTTAGCGCTTTTTGTAGAGTTCCGGAGGACGGGAATGAAGATGGCGGCCTCCTGGTCTCCGGCCCAGAGGAGCTGAGAGCCCCGGGGCCCCACTCCTCAGTGCGCCCTCAGAGAACAGCACCCAATTACTCCCGTCACCCTGGCCTCCGGCCGCGCTCTGTCTCTGTAGCCGGCTTCCCCATTCTAATACCTATAAGCTCTGAGACACTCAGACACCCCCAATCCTTCTGTGACCCTGCGGGACCTGAGGTCATGCTGACCCCGCGTGGGCTTCACCCCAGTTAGGCCTCTGGAGCGATGTCCCTCAGCAGAACAGACTTTTAAAAGTCCTGATTTTGTGCTCCGTTGCTCCACCGCTTGCCGTGAGCCGGCCCCTCCCCCCGCGGTCTATCTTCCCCGTCGCTTTGGATTCACTTCTCCGCCAGTCCTACCTTTCAGAAAGTGGTTGATTTTCTGTTTCTAGAATTGCTGTTCTTCTCTTCGATCTCCCATTGGATTTGTAGGTGTTTGCAATCTTTAGATAAGCTATCTAGCTGATCTCCTGCTACCTGAAGTAGTCTCAGCCTGCTACTTCTCTGCCATCTTGACTCCTCCCGGAAATCTCAAATTTTTAAAGTTGAACCTGAATCTGTTGATCTTCCATTGATTCAATATTTTGTTTTACTTGATCTAAAGAATTGATTAGGGGCGCCTTGGGTGGCTCAGTGGGTTAAAGCTTCTGCCTTCGGCTCGGGTCATGATCCCAGGGTCCTGTGATTGGGCCCCGCATTGGTCTCTCTGCTCAGCAGGGAGCCTGCTTCCTCCTCCCTCTCTGCCAGCCTCTCTACCTACTTGTGATCTCTGTCTGTCAAATAAATAAAATATTTAAAAATATATAAAAAATAAAGAATTGATTAATATGCACTTGAACTTCTTAGAGATATTTGTGGGTTTTTTAAAATCTCTGATTCTTTACCCCATCTGGATTTCATTTTAGTGTAAAGGATCTCATGAGATCTTGATGTGTAAGAGTCTAATCCCCCATTCCAGCATTATACAGACTCAGAGTATTTATCTTTTTTATTTACTATTTCCTACTGATAATTTAACCATTTGATCATTTTGATATTTTTTCTTTTTCTCAATATGAAGCTAGTAAACATTGCTCAGGGTACTATACTCATCAATTTTTAAGCTTTTTTACAGTCATTTTGTTGTACAGAGACACATGGTCTGTGTGTGTTTCAAATGGATAAATTTGTTAGAAATACTGTATTTGTATGTGATAGTAACTGTACTTTAGATCCCTATTTCTTATTTGAAAGTTATGCATATATGCATATTTGTGTGTGTATATATATATGCACATACACGCATATGTGTTCATTTTAGAAAATATGCAAAGGTGATCCAAAAAAGTCTCCATATTGCCACCACTTAACTAAAATTTAATATAATGTGTTTATGTTTATCATGCATATATAGACACACAATAATACCACACATTTTTGCATTATTTATTCATTTAAATAGTGCATAGGTTGACTGTAACATCCAGATCATGATCTAAAAATACTATCTATTTGGGCACCTGGGTAGCTCAGTTGGTTGAGTCTGCGATTCTTGGTTCTGGTTCAGGTCATGATCTCAGGGTTGTGAGATGGAGGCCCACATCAGGCTCCATACTAAGTGGGGAGTCTTCTAAAGATTCTCTCTCCCTGCCCTTCCTCTTACTCATGTTCTCTCTCTCTTTTTTCTAAAATAAATCAATCTTTTTAAAAAATTAAAAAATAGAAATAACCTATCTATTCAAAAAATAGATCTAGATAAGAATCATATATTACTATTAAATCATACTTTTCTCATATTTACGTAAGGCTAGCTGTCTCTGGTAGCTTTAAGCAATGTGTATTTATAGTAGAGGTTATTCAGGTAGTCACGCACAACATTGTGGACTCTTTGAAAACCGTCAGTGCATAAACTAGGACTTGGAATGTAGGTACGAAATCTCCCTAAATCTCCCCTAAAAGGTGCTAAGTGAAGGATAAGTGAATAAAGGTAATGACCATTCTGGTTACTCCTAAGGAATAGCTTATATTGGTGCCATATGGATTCATGTAGACATGTGTCTATTTTTTCTAGGAAGTTGTGCGGTTCTTAGATACCAAACATCAAGAACACTATCAAGTCTACAATCTATGCAGTATGTACATGGCCAGATATTTTGCTACTATTGATATGAAACAGATCACTACATATAAGATGATTCAGTCTTCACATTTCATTTAATCATAAGTATTTGGTGGGTGATGGGAAGTGAGTTTAAAAATCTCCATCTTGCATTGGTTCTGTTTTGTAGGTGAAAAAATATCTCAATAGTATAAAAGCCCTGTGGGGGAGACAGGAAGCTTAAATTGAGGCAGAGCCATTTTGTGTAGAATCTGCTCTCATGGTGTTAGGTTTAGGAAGATACTTCTGTTTTCCCTGCTGGCTTGTGTTTTGACAAGGAAACACTAGGAGTGGGGTGTGAGGAGAGCAAAACCCAAATGAAAAAAATCCAAATAGTCAATAAACAAGGGAAAATATGCTCAAAAACAAAACCTGTAGAAAAGAGATTATATCCCCACTTAGTATTCTGTCTTGTCTTTTCCTCTTCCTGTATATTAAACAGACATTTTCAGGAGGCAAGCATTCTGGTTGGCCACATTTATGCCACATTTACTTCTGCTCTGTGGTAATATGTGGTAATATGATGAGTAACCTACTAGAAAATTAAAAGTAAGGCCTGTTAAGTCCAAATAAGTTGGGTTACTCAAGATGGACAAACCACTGCTATCTCTGTTTTTCAGACCCTTACTATTCCTAAAAGCAACAAGAGCCAGTAAGAAAGCTCCTTTTAATGGTGGTTAAGGGGGACACCTGGGTGGCTCACTTGGTTAAGCATCTGCCTTTTGCTCATGTCATGATCCCAGAGTCTTGGGATCGAGTCCCGAATCTGGCTCCCTGCTCAATGAGGAGCCTGTTTCTCCCTCTCCCTCTGCTACTCCCCCAGCTTGTGCATGCTCTCTCTCTCTCCTGCTCTCTCTGACAAATAAATAAATAAAATCTTTTTTAAAAATTAAGGTGGATAAGGCATTTATAATAAAAACTATAACTTCTTCATAACTTGATCATTTACTGTGTTTATTAGGCATAGTTATCAGACCTATGTATTATTTATTTTAGGTGAAGGAGCTTATAATCCCAAGTACTTCCATGACAGGGTCCAGCGAATCAAGATTGATGATCACAATGTCCCCAGTCTAAGGTAAATTTCATGCCAAGATGGCTGTCAAAAGAAAGCTAAATATACTGGGCTTGATTTTTTGGATGAATTTTAATTCAACTAAAAATTTTACATTTGAAATCAGTGAGATGGTGGCATTCGCCAAGGAAGTGGATGAGTGGATGTCTCAAGATGACAAAAACATCGTAGTGATTCACTGTAAGGGAGGCAAAGGTAAAAATATTTTTTAACTTTTCTTTTTCTAAATAAATATTAATACATTAAAGTACAAGAATAAGGTACATACTGTTATTAGTATTAATAGTTGTTAAAATTTTGGAAGGGGGATCGCCTAGGTGGCTCAATCGTTAAGCATCTGACTCCTGGCTTCAGCTAAGGTCATGATCTCAGGGTGGGGATATCAAGTCCTTCAGCAGGCTCTGCACTCAGCACAGAGTCTGCTTAAGTTTCTCTCTTCCTCTGCCCTTCTGCTCCCCACCCTGCTCTCTCTCACTCTTTCTCTCAAATCTCTCAAATCGATGAATACATATTTTAAAAAAATAGTTAACATTTTTTGATGTTCGCTTCAAAGCTAAAGGAAGGGAAGGAAAGGAAGTGGGGGGTGGAAGGTAAATACTAAAGGGAAGAAAATAGGAATAACAAAACTAAGAAAGGTTGAGCATATTTTTTCTTGTTTATTGACTGCTTGAGTTTCTTCATTTTTGATTTGCAAAAATATCTATGAAAGTAAAAATGTTTAATTTTAAAAACTGTCAGAGCACCGTTTTTTAAATTTTTTAATAAACATATGTGTTTTTATCCCCAGGGGTATAGGTCTGTGACTCGCCAGGTTTACACATTTTACAGTACTCATCATAGCACATACCCTCCCCAATGTCCATATCCCCACCACCTTATCCCATCCCCACTCCCCCCAGCAACCCTCAGATGTTTTTTGAGATTGAGTTTTTTATGGTTTGTCTCCCTCCCGATCCCATCTTCTTTCATTTTTTCTTTCCCTATCCCTCAAACCCCCCGTGTTGCTTCTCCACTTCCTCATATCAGGGAGATCATATGATAGTTGTCTTTCTCCGACTGACTTATTTCACTAAGCATAATACCCTCTAGTTCCATCCATGTTGTCACAAATGGCAAGATTTCATTTCTTTTGATGGCTGCATAGTATTCCATTGTATATATATACCACCTCTTCTTTATCCATTCTTCTGTTGATGGACATCTAGGTTCTTTCCATAGTTTGGCTATTGTGGACATTGCTGCCATAAACACTCAGGTGCACGTGCCCCTTTGGAGCACCACGTTTGTATCTTTATGATATATACCCAGCAGTGCAATCGCTGGGTCATAGGGTAGCTCTATTTTCAGTTTTCTGAGGAACCTCCACACTGTTTTCCAGAGTGGCTGCACCAGCTTGAATTCCCTCCAGCAGTGTAGGAGGGTGCCTCTTTCTCCACATCCTCGCCAGCATCTGTCATTTCCTGACTTGTTAATTTTAGCCATTCTGACTGGTGTGAGGTGATATCTCATTGTGGTTTTGATTTGTATTTCCCTGATGCTGAGAGATGTGGAGCACTTTTTTCATGTGTCTGTTGGCCATCTGGATGTCTTCTTTGCAGAAATGTCTATTCATGTCCTCTGCCCATTTCTTGATTGGATTATTTGTTCTTTGGGTGTTGAGTTTGCTAAGTTCTTTATAGGTTTTGGACACTAGCCCTTTATCTGATATGTCGTTTGCAAATATCTTCTCCCATTCTGTCAGTTGTCTTTTGGTTTTGTGAACTGTTTCCTTTGCTGTGCAAAACCTTTTGATCTTGATGAAATCCCAATAGTTCACTTTTGCCCTTGCTTCCCTTGCCTTTGGCAATATTCCTAGGAAGAAGTTGCTGCAGCTGAGGTCAAAGAGGTTGCTGCCTGTGTTCTCCTCAAGGATTTGGATGGATTCCTTTCTCACATTGAGGTCCTTCATCCATTTTGAGTCTATTTTCATGTGTGGTGTAAGGAAGTGGTCCAATTTCATTTTTCTGCGTGTGGCTGTCCAATTTTCCCAGCACCATTTGTTGAAGAGGCTTTTTCCATTGGACAGTCTTTCCTGCTTTGTCAAAGATTAGTTGACCATAGAGTTGAGGGTCTATTTCTGGGCTCTCTATTCTGTTTCGTTGATCTATGTGTCTGTTTTTGTGCCAGTACCATACTGTCTTGATGATGACAGCTTTGTAATAGAGCTTGAAGTCTGGAATTGTGATGCCACCAACTTTGGCTTTCTTTTTCAATATTCCTTTGGCTATTTGAGGTCTTTTCTGGTTCCATATAAATTTTAAGATTATTTGTTCTATTTTTTTGAAAAAATGGATGGGATTTTGATAGGGATTGCATTAAATGTATAGATTGCTTTAGGGAGAATAGACATTTTCACAATATTTGTTCTTCCAATCCATGAGCATGGAACATTTTTCCATTTCTTTGTGTCTTCCTCCATTTCTTTCAGGAGTACTTCATAGTTTTCTGAGTACAGATTCTTTGCCTCTTTGGTTAGGTTTATTCCTAGGTATCTTATAGTTTTGGGTGCAATTGTAAATGAGATTGACCCCTTAATTTCTCTTTCTTCTGTCTTGTTGTTGTTGTATAGAAATGCAACTGATTTCTGTGCATTGATTTTATGTCCTGACATTTTACTGAATTCCTGTACAAGTTCTAGCAGATTTGGAGTAGAGTCTTTTGGGGTTTCCACATAAAGTATCATATCATCTGCAAAGAGTGATAGTTTGACTTCTTCTTTGCCAATTTGGATGCCTTTAATTTCTTTTTGTTGTCTGATTTCTGAGGCTAGGACTTCTAGTGCTATGTTGAATAGCAGTGGTGATAATGGACATCCCTTCCATGTTCTTGACCTTAGCGGAAAAGCTCTCAGTTTTTCTCCATTGAGAGTGATATTTGCTGTGGGTTTTTCATAGATGGCTCTGATGATATTGAGGTATGTACCCTCTACGCCTACACTGTGAAGAGTTTTGGTCAAGAAAGGATACTGTACGTTGTCAAATGCTTTTTCAGCATCTATAAAAGTTGGGTATTCATCCTTTCTGATGAGGCATAATATTCCTTTATATATATGAACCATATCTTCTTTATCCATTTGTCCATTGAAGGGCATCTTGGTTCTTTCCACAGTTTGGTGACTGTGACCATTGCTGCTATGAACATTGGGGTACAGATGGCCCTTCTTTTCACTCCATCTGTATCTTTGGGGTAAATAGCCAGTAGTGCAATTGCAGGTCATAGGGTAGCTCTATTTTTAATTTCTTAAGGAATCTCTACACTGTTTTCCAAATGCTTATGTTTTACATTAAAATAAATGACTGAAGGTAATTGTGTATCTTTTTATGCTTCCCTGCTGTACTTGACTTGATTGGATGATAGGATATGTACTGTGTCTGTGACTGTACACAGCCACAAGGACATGGAATCTGCAAAAGTGTTTTTCAGATGGGAAAATACCAGTTATAGAGACCCAGGGATGGCCTCCAGACAGAACTGAAATGTTAACAGTCTTTACCACTGAGAGCAGGGTTGGTAATAGTCAGGATTTCCTTTAGCAAGATGCCTTTATGTATCACAGCATGAGGTGGTAGAAAGTCTTTTTTGGAAGTACTTGGCTTAGAATGTTTTCCAAACTATGGGTTGTAAAATAAGTTTAGTTGTTCATTGAAAAAAAAAAATAGAATAAGAAGTAGTATATATCTAAAATTAAAAGGGTAAGCTTGAAATTACACAAAGTAAGTTGAGCATATACTGGCTAAGACAAAAGCTACAGATAAGTGTAGAAATAAAAGACACACTGTATTTTTTAAATCAAATTTTGTATAGCAGGGCAAAAATATAATTTAGAGTAAAACATAAATTTTGAGGATGAAATAACATGAAATCAAGGGTTTGCTTTAAAATGCTATAGGGAGTGCCTGGGTCATTCAGTTGGTTAAGTGTCTAACTCTTGATCTCAGCTCAGATCTGGATCTCAGGGTCATGGGTTCAAGCCCTCCACTGGGCTCTGTGCTGGGTGTGGAGCATACTTACAAAAAGTTTAAAAAATGAAAGGCTGTGGAAGAAGAGAGGAAGAAAAACATGGAAGGAAGGAAGCAGAGCGAAACAAGGACAACAATATAATATACTGTGGGAAACAGATATATGGGGTTTGTTTTACTGTTCTGTTTACTTTCATGTATGTTTCATAACACACTTAAAGACTCAAAAATAGAAGGAAAAAGTGGGTGTTATAAATGTTATGTCATGTTTTGGGTTCTGATCATGTTTTATCTCTTATAGGTACTTTTATTTATGTTAGTTGGAAAAACAGGGTGTGTAATTAGTTCTTAACTGGTAAGTAGCTCTTTAGCTCTAGGGTCCTAGAGGACACCTCACTGGCTCTGCCCGTTACTGCAGTCCCCAGCAGCAGGGATTCAAAACAGTATACACGTGCGCACGTGCCTTTGTGCACACGGGACAGAATTCTAGATACAACCTCAGAGCAATGAAACAGCTTTGGCTATTCCTGAATTGAAATCTTTTGAACAAGCACTTTCAGAGGGAAAGAAAATCGATCCCAATTTCTGACAGCATCTTTGTACCAAGTACTGCCATGAACAGGTTGTTCATGGACTAACTTCTTTTCTTTTGCAGGAAGAACTGGAACGATGATTTGTGCCTACCTTATTGCCAGTGGAATATTTACAACTGCAGAGGTAGGAAAGATGTTACCACAGATGATCTTGTGCTGACTGAATCTGATAGTTCTGAAACCTCAGTGGTAGGATGTTAAGATGGTTCTTTGAGTCGTGGTACTTAATGAAGTTGTGATTAGAGATCCACTTATTAGAAAGCCTCGTTTTGGTATGTCCTTGTTTTTTTTTTTTTTCCCAAAAATTTCTTTACATTCTATTTAGTTAATATACCACATTTCCTAGTTTAATTTACACTGGTTAGTAACTGACCTAGGTGCCTCTTTGGGCCAGAGCTAGGGTGAGGTCAGTGAGAAACTCCCCTCAGGCACAAAATTTAAGGGAATGCCAAAATTAAGAGAAATAATTGAATGCAGTATGTTTTAAAATCAAGATTAATGGAAAAAAATCCATGATGTCTACAGTAATACCAACATTTTAAATAAACATAGGGTCTGTTAGGGACAGGATTAAAGGGGGGGGGATGTAAAGTCAAGCTGTCCAACTGTAAAACAACTCTACAATCATAATGCCTCCTACAGCTCAGTTGCTCCCAGCCCCATTCTTATGCCCCCAGTTAGGGGACAGTCTCCTTCCTCACAAGAATAATATCAAGATTGGTTTGGTAGGTTCTCCCAAAGGACCTCCAACATCCTTAGAAGCACTAGGTAGGTAAAAGGTACATTTTCCAATGCAGAACAAAATCTCTCCTTGATGTTATTAACCTCTCATAGTCAATATCTATGGGATCTCTTGGAGACTGGGCCCTCTGAAAATTTCTGCAGAGACAGGGTGTGCTATTTCCAGTTCGTAAAGTGGGGTTCTCAGTCTTATTTCTGCCATGATTGTGCTGAGAAGTTCCCACTGAATGGACATGGCCAGCAACTCTGCTCCCCACTTGGCCAGCAGTCTGAGAAGAGAAACTTCGGGTTGTCTCCAGTGCCCCACCCTCTGGTGCCACCATCTGCTTTATTCCTAATTTGAGACACACAGGTTAGGAAAATGGAGGCTCTTCCCCAGTGTTTTCCAAACTGGGTCCAATCTATCAGTGAATTGTAAAGTCAACCTGTTGGGTTGTGACTAGCGTTTTTAAAAATAAAATGGACTAGATTCAAATAGAAAATATCAAAAGGTAAGTATTGATTTGTGAAACTTTGGTTTCAGTTGTATGTGAGTGCGTGTTTGTGCAAAAACCTTGATACGATTTTTTTTGTTGTTAACTTTAGTTTGAGTAACCTCTGCCTAAAGGCTGCAGACTTAAGGAAATAATGTGCCCTTAGAACCTTTAAGGATGCCTTCCACAGGAAAAGAAAGTACATGTGAGCCATGACTGTGTTGCCCCCTTTTCCATAGGAGAGCCTTTATTATTTTGGAGAACGGCGAACAGATAAAAGCACCAGCACTAAATTTCAGGGAGTTGAAACCCCTTCTCAGGTAAGTTGTCATTCTTAAAAGGGGGGACCTTTGGGGGAGTTCAGCACCCATTATTTGGTTTCACTGTGCACTCTTTTCCTCTCGTGATCGGGCCACTCCACTCTGGTGCCTGTGACAGGCCTGGATCCCTCCCAGGGCCAGAGAGCCATGTCTATTAGTACCCCCCCACACACACACACTCTGCCCTGGGGAATCCTGCTCTCCATTTAACATTGGTCACTGCTTACAGAGTTCAAGAGTTGATTCCTTCCGAAAGTGGAAAGGTCTAATTTCTAAGATTCCAGACTCGAAGATTATGGAAAATCACTAGCCTTTCATTTCTCTCTGAGAGGAAATGAGTCTTTCACAAACCCCTACTTGGGCCATTCACCTCTTGCAGAACATCTCGTGTGTGTGTGTGTGTGTGTGTGTGTGTGAGAGAGAGAGAGAGAGAGAGAGAGAGAGAATCAAAGAAAGAGACAAGAGGGGGCTGCCGTATTTTGAAAGAAAAAGGGGAAATTAACATCTTACCAAACCTATTCTATTCCAGACACTATTATATTTTGACATATATTATCTCATTTAATTCTCAGAAAATCCATGTGAAATATATGCAGTTACCTTATTTTATCCTTTAAAAAATATTTTATGGTGAATAATTTCAAACATAAAAAGCTGAGACAATCCTATAATAAATCCCCTTATAGTCCTCACACCACTTCAACCATCATTTTATCGTGTTGCATTCATTCCCTCCCCACTCTCCTCACATGCACACACACACACACACCCCTTCTCCACAGAGCCCAGATGGCTGTGGAGGAAATCCCAGTCATCAGGTCATTTTATCTCATAAGTATTTTAGTGTGACATTCACATAGACTCTCAAGGGTAAAAATACCATGACACCATTGATCATATCTAAAAATATTATATCTTAAGGGGCACCTGGGTGACTCAGTGGGTTAAGAATCTAACTCTTAATTTCAGCTCAAGGTCATAATCTCAGGTCATGAGATCAAGCCCTGCAATGGGCTCTACATTCAATGGGGAAGTCTGCTGGAGATTCTCTCTCTCGTTTACTTCCGCCCCTCTGCCCCTCTAAAACAAATAAATAAATCTTTAAAAAATAAAAAGAAATAAAAATATCATACCTTGGGGAACCTGGGCGGCTCAGTGGGTTAAGGCCTCTGCCTTCGGCGCATGGCATGGTGCCAGGGTCAGGGATCGAGCCCTGCTTCCGGCTCTCTGCTCAGCAGGGAACCTGCTTCCCTTCCTCTCTCTCTCTGCCTGCCTCTCTGCCTACTTGTGATCTCTGTCTGTCAAATGAATAAATAAAATCTTTTAAAAATATATACCTTAATGATATCTTAATAATACCCAATTTCTGGGGCATGTAGGTGGCTCAGTCAGTTAAGTGTTTGCCTTCAGCTTGGGTCATGACCCTGGGGCTCCCTGCTCACTGGGGAGACTGCTTCTCCCTCTCCTTCTGCTCCTCTCCATGCTCTTGGTCTCTCTAATGCACACACACTCTCTCAAATAAGTAAATAAAATCTTTAAAAAATACACTCAAGCTGGCCACAGGGACAAGAGCATATATATCTTTGTTAGAGGTGTGTGGAGCTCAAGTCCTTTCGTGATGAGGAGGCAACTCTCTGCCAGAGCACAAACCTTCCTTAAACTTAGTCACAGTTAAGCCTCCACCCCCAGATTGAGCTTTTCCACAGTCGTATTAACTACGTCTTGGTGAAATGTTGTAGCGCTTTCCCTGGGTCTGGTTAGGTGTCCTTTCAGTCGAAAGTGGCCTATAGGAGCAACATGTAGCTCCCTTCTTGTTCCTTCCCCACAGCACAGAGTTCAGAACTTTTCTTCTAAGGGAGATATTCAGTCATGAGGCAGCAAACATAAGCATGCCTAGTCATATAATGGCATTCAGTAAATGTTTCTTTAATGAATGATTCTCCCTAATTCTATGACTCTCCCTAATTAACGATTCTCCCTAAATTCTATGTAAAAATTAAAACAAAAACAAAATCAGGAATGCTGAGAATAGACTTTTTACCTCCACTTAAATTGAATCTTCTGTTGTTTTGCAGAATAGATACGTTGGATATTTTGCAGATGTGAAAAATATCTACAACATGACTCTCCCTCCAAGAAAAACACTCAAGATTAAAAATATCATTATTCATTCAATTCATGGTAAGTGATTTATGTGTCATTGACGAGTTGGCCAGGAGGCAATGTTCTGACTCTCGAGGCGTGGGATGGTTGCTCCCATGTGTGTACCAACAGTCCCAACTCATGGCTGTCCTTTCATGCATCCTCACGTGTAACCGCTCCCAGTGGAAGAGCCCAGAAGCCCTTAGATGTCCTCTCTTCACCAGTTTGTGGGGGCTCCATCCCCTTCTGTCTTCTATTCTCACTGCTGCCGTGGCTTCAGCCCAGGGTGGGCTTTTAAGAATAGGACCTCTGATGGAGAAGAGAGGAAGGGCTCACGAGCCCTGGAGACCACCTCTCCCTCATGTCCACCTCTAGTTCAGGGTTCATCTGGCAGCCCTGTATCATTTGCTCACATGAGCCTTTCAGAAACCTTCTTTTCCCTCTCATCATCCTGGTCTCTCCCTCTCCCCTCCCTCCTGCACCCTTAGTCCCCTCATCCCCAGCAACTCGAGATGTCTTGATATGTCTTAAATACACAAAGGTGGGGCGCCTGTGTGGCTCAGTGGGTTAAGCCGCTGCCTTAGGCTCAGGTCATGATCTCAGGGTCCTGGGATCAATTCCTGCATCAGGCTCTCTGCTCGGCAGGCCTGCTTCCCTCTCTCTCTCTCTCTCTCTCTCTGCCTGCCTCTCCATCTACTTGTGATCTCTCTCTGTCAAATAAAATCTTTAAAAAAAAATACAGGAAGGTGTCTTCAGTACCCAAACAACAAATGAAATTTGTTGCCACAAATTCTCTTTAGAAATAACTACCAAGTGCCTGCTTTGGGCAAGCCCCCTGCTAGTGTTTCTCTGCCCTCAGGAAGGAGAGGAATGAGTGCGCATGGATATAAAGAGCTGACCACAGTGTTGGGGCACACACAGACTGGACCCTGTCAGCTGAGGGTCAAGGTCAAGGATAGCTTCCTAAGGAGCACCACCCAGGTCTTCCTTACTGGAATCTACAAAACACAGAAAGGGGGTTGGGAGAAACCTGGGGTCGGGGTGAGGGTGGTGGGGGGGCATCTTTCAGCCTCCTAGCTTCTATTAGTTATTACCAGGAGTAAAAATCCTGATCCATTTTAAAAGAGCTGACTGTTCTCCTGCTTCAAGAATGTCCGGAGAGAGACTGGGATCTGCCATCATGCAGGGAGGCAGGAAAATTAGATCTTCCATCTCTGGGACTTAAGAAATGAAGGGGAAGGGGAGGGGGAGAACCATCCTCAAGTCTTTAATTCTCCATCAACCACCCCACTTCCTGCGCAGCTCACAGGGGATGTGGCAGAACAGGGCCACCTCAGTGGGGGTGGGCTGGGGCTTCACTCTCACTGCCCACGGTGCAGCAGGGAGCAATGCTCTGACTCCCCAACATTAAACCATGGCCTGTGCAGAGGTGCCAGGTCCCTCATGAGTAGTATGGTGCCAGAGCACTGGTATCCATCCCAACAGGCTTAAATTTTTAGCCCTCTGGGGAGTCCCAAAAAATAAGAGCTAGATATATATATGTTTTAACATTTCATCCAATTATTCAGAAATAAAAGAATCCTTTAAATAAATATATAAACTGCATAGTAAAAAAAAAAATTACAGTGAAAGTATAAAATGCTTTTTTCAAATTATTTCTATATCCCTTCCTCCCCACCACACACAGAGGTGGTGGTGAGGACTTTTAATGGATTACCACAATCGGATTGCATCGGTTTCTGGCTTGTGAAAACAAATGTCAACCCAGGAGCATTGTTTCTGTCGGAAATTTTGTCTAGGTTTCCAAACAAGCATTGTGCAGGCAGACCCTTGAAACACGGCCCATATGGGCAGAAGGCTGCCTGTGTATAAAAATTAGCAACTGTTGGTGAAAAGCTCTGTAGACTGCAAAGTCCTCTAGAGAGTCCATTATGACCATTTCCTTGGCTGTGTGTGAATTAGGAGGGAGAGGGTTGTCGTGGGTCCTAATGGCTGACCTCACTCAGAATTCCAGGTGTTGCCACACCTCCCCAGGCAGAGCCAGGCTTGTCCAACAGGTGTCAGAAGGTAGGGGACAGCAGTGTCTTGCTCTGTTCCCTTCCCACATTTAGTGGGGTCCTGCAAAAAGAGTCGACCACTTTATTCTAGACCAGGAAAAGCAACATGGTTAGCCACTGGAGCAGTTTCTCCCACCGAGAAATATAAACGCAACCATAAAACCAACTCAGTGGTAGGAGAGCCAGAATTGCAAAAGCAGAGTGTATACTCTGCTTCAGTTTCTTCTTTGTTAACAATGGGACCAATGGCTTCTATACAGACCCCCATGAGTATTAACCGTTCCAGACAGACAAATAGGCATTTGGTCCAGTGGAATTTTCATGTATTTTTCTAACATGAATAGTGAGATTGGGAATTGTTTCTCAAAATTCTAAGCTTAAAAAAGTTTTTAATAAGTTCTAGAATTTCATATGTTTCTCAATCTGATGTTTTACCCTAAGACTGTGACTTCTCTGCTAATATTTTAAATTTTATATAAACTGCAGAAACATTGTTTAGTTAAAACTGGAAGGTACAGAGATGGAGAACAGAATAGCTAACCCAAATGGATAAGTACTACAGGGGAAAACTGGGAGAGGGTTTCATGGGTTTGGTTTGCTAGTCTCAGGCTAACAAATAGATTCTAAAAGTCCAGTTTAAGATGCCTTGTGGAGACTTCCAGACAAAGTTGTAATCTTAGCAGCTGTTCAGTACCATGTGGGTCCAGACTTCAGAGCCAACTTAAGAAGGGCTACATGGTAAGTTACCAGTGTTTCTGCCCCCATGTAAATAATCAGGCCAAGCTAATGACACCAGCATTTTTCTTTTTATAGATATATATTTTACTTATTATCCTCTTATCACATTGTTAGCTTGCCCAACAAACTGTACCCTCTAGGCTAAGAAGTTCTGTTAGCCTTTGGGGTTGGACACTCTTGGTGCCCCATAAAGATCCCATTGGATCCCTTCCACCAGCTCTGTGATCCCAACCCCCAGCCTCCACCCCCTTTACTCTAATCCTTGGAGAATTACTACTGGAGCCAACTCATTTATTTAGAGCCCCAAATCCCTGAGGGTGTCACCACCCTGTTGGGCAGCCCATATACAATGACTAGCAGCTGTACAAAAACTCAACTCCTTTGCTCCAAAGTGTGACAAACTCTGCAGTATAATTTACACCAAAGAATTCCCCATGGATCAAGCTGAATCTGCTGAATCCCACCCTTCCTTGGCTCTTATGAAGAAATTCCTCCTAGGAGCACTTCCTTCATAAATCACTAGTACCCGGAGTGTTGGCGTAGGGTCCACTTCCGGGAGAACTCAACCTGTGATCATCCATTTACTTGTACTGAGGTGTAGTATTTATAACACTGTATTTACTTGGTCTCTGTCAGGTGTTGCAAATTGCATGAGGACAGAGCCCATTATTCATTCATCTTTGAATCTCCCAGATCATGACAGACAGTTGGAGCTCAGTAGATCTCTGTGAAGTTGACTTGAATGAAAATGTCTCTGGCATGTTTCATCACATCTCTCAAGACCCCCTCATCCACTTCTCCGATTTTACTCCCCACCTCTCTATCCGTCCATAAATCAGCTCTAGCAACAGTGGCTTTCTTCCTCTTTTGTTGTTGTTGTTATTGTTGTCACTCTTTTATAGTAATGATTCTTGGACTTCCACACGTTGTCTCTCCTTTACTTTTATAAACATTTTCTCTATTGAAATATACTTGACACAAAATATTACATTCATTTTAGGGGTGCCTGAGTGGCTCAGTTGGTTAAGCCTCTGTCGTTGGCTCAGGTCATGATCTCAGGGTCCTGGGATGGAGCCCCACATCCGGCTCTTGGCTTAGCAGGGAACCTGCTTCCCCCTCTCTCTCTGCCTGCCTCTCTGCCTACTTGTGTTCTCTGTCAAATAAATAAATAAAATCTTTTTTAAAAATGTTACATTCATTTTAGATACATAAACTAGTGATTCGACAAGTCTATACATTATGTTATGCTCACAAGTGTAGCTACCATCCCTCACATACAACACTATTAGAGTGTCACTCACTATGTTTCCTATGCTGTACCTTTTATCCCCCAAGACTTACTCATTCCATGACTGGAAGCCTAGATCTCCCACTCTCCTTCACCTGTTTTGTGCCTCTCCCCACTTGCCTCCCCTCTGGAAATCATCAGTTTTTTTTCTGTATTTACAGGTCTGGTTCTACTTTTTGTCTGTTTGTTCATTTTTGTTTGTTTGTTTTATTTTTTAGATTCCACATATAAGGAAAACTACTTTCTGTATTTGTCCTTTTCTGGTCTGGCTTATTTCACTTAGTATAATATCCTGTAGGTCCATCCATGTTGTCACAAGTGGCAAAATCTCATTCTTTTTATGGGTGAATAATATTCCACTCGATGTATACATACACACCACCTCTTTATTCATCTATCAATGGACACTTGACTACTTCCACGTCTTGGCTATTGTAAGTAATACTGCAGTAGACATAGAGGTGCAAGCACTGTGGGCAATACTATAGAGTTTCCTCATGAAATTAAAAGTAGAATTACCATATGACCCAGTAATTCCACTACTGGGTATTTACCCAATGAATATGGAAACACTAATTTCAAAAGCTATATATACCCTTTATGTTCATTGCAGCATTATTTACAATAGCCAGTATATGGAAGCAACTCAAGTGTCCACCAATGGATAAATGCATAAAGAGAAGGTGCATATACACATATGTATAATGGAATATTAGTCATAAAAAAAGAATGAAATCTTGTCTTTTGAACAACATGAATGGACCTAGGGGGTATATTGTTAAATGCATAAGTCAATCAGAGAAAGACAAGTACCATATGATTTCATTCACATA